CCTTCCTCCGTCCTTCTCTCTCCTCGGCTTTCCTCTCCGCACGTTCGTTCCTTCGCGCTTTTATCCTCCACCTCCGTGAAATCTTTCTATGCACGCACCGACGGCGAAGCAATTGCAACAGAGTGCTCTCGCGCTCGAACCTGTTCGGGACCCCCGCGGCAGGGCGGCGCTCATCTGCTTAGCGCTCCCTTCCGTCTACCTCGCCCTTTTCCTACGCGCTCCCTTCCACCTTCGCCCACCTCCTCCCGCTCGCGGCTCGTGAAATTCCGAGATGCGGCGCGGCTCCGATCGTGCCGCGCGTGTAATGCCCGATACGACACGACGATTGCGAAACTGCGCCTCACTTTCGATACGCGAGCGATGATTATTTCCATCGAGAACGCGTCGGTCCGCGCGGAAGTGCAGAATCCGCGGTCGGATATACGAGAGCGCGGATATCGATGGCGCGCCAACGAGCTGAAATTAATCGGCGCCCTTCTTCGCTCCGTTTTCTCTCTCTCTCTCTTTCTCTCTGAATGAACCGCGCTCTCGGCTCCTCTCGCTCGCTCACGCCGCCGCCGCGACTCCTCTGTCCTCCTCTTCGTCGCCGGTAGTCAGCCCGCCCCCTCCCGTCTTGCTGGTATACTCTCGCTTTCTGGCCGGCTATTAATTCCGGCCGTAGTTGGGGTCCGGGATTATTGAAATTATTATACGGCAGCGAGCCGAAATCGGAGGGCCTGCGTTTCGAGATTCCAGCGCGCGCACACACAATCGCGCCGCTACGTTCACGGCGCTCCTGTTTTGTGTTTGACCCGCGTTGCGTGCATCGTGCATATACACACGCGCACACGCGAGCTCTCCTCTCTTTCTCTCTAGGACCGGCACGGTATCACCCAGGAAGCGGGGACGAGCATGAGAACGAAGGGCCGAAATAATGAGTCACCCGGCTATCCGCTCACGGTCCACCGTGCGAGCCCGAAATATCTTGTTCCGGCGGCGCATCGCGTGCGTCTCGCGCGTCGGCCCGTTTCCACCGGGGAGAAAATGATAGCTATCGCGTGTACGGAGGGGGGAAGGGGGAGCGCCACGGGAGACGGCGAATCTGTATTTAATAATTAAAGATATTCCGCGGTGAAAAACGCGCACGGGATAACGGCGAGAAGTTCACCGTTGTAAACCGTCAGGATGAAGCGTGCAATTAGTGGGCACAAGTGTCCTGTCGTTTTATATTGACACTTTCGATGAAAAGAAATCACTTTGGGAAATAATCATATTTATTTATGTGAGAATAACGATTATAAGAGATTATAAAAGCTAATCTCCCCGCCATCCGGATCCGAACGCGAAGAGTACGATTCGCGTGTAAAGCTTACGATTGCGCAGGTCGAGTTCATTCTCGCCACTGGCTTCGAAGACTCGCGGGAACGCGAGGACAATAATAATCCAGATCGAAATCTGACGTTGACAAATCAAGGAAAACCGGAGAACCGTGGCAACGGCCGCGTGAGCGCCGCGCTATCTCTAATCGCGCACTCGATCTTAAGTGATACATTCCTCCCGAGCCGATGCAATGCGCAATGTTCGCATTTTCTCGGGCTATCCTTCGCATACCGCTCGTGCAACAATATTCCGACACGACAGTTTCCTTTCGAGTCCGAGTCAACGGCTCTCGTTCGCCTCTCCCCGTCTACCTGCGTCTCTCCCTCTCTTTCTCTCTCTCTCTCTTCCTCGCTCTCTCGCGTGCTACTCCGAAACCGGAGTGTTCGATAGCCCTCGCCGCTTCGCGTAATGCACCTGTGCCGTATTCCTGCGGTCGGCTTGCATAAACGCCGGCATGCTATCGCGAGGAAACGCACCGTCGCACGATATCATTCGCATTCCCGTCGCGATCATAAAAAATTCATGCACGCCAGCGACTCGGCGGCCGACTCTCTCTCTCTCTCTCTCTCTCTCTCATTCTCTCTCCTCCTCACGAATAATCTCGTGCCGATCGAGGGAAATTTTATCTCACGGAACAGCTAACGCGCATGCTGACTTGAAATTAATAAAACGGCGAAACCTTCGATTTCCAACGACAAGCGACACATCTGAAAGCCTGCGGATAACGACACCGTCATTTGCTTGTACCTTTAATCCGTCGAAAGTTTTTCGCTCGCCTCGTCGAGCGATTTACAAATAAGCAATATATATATATATGTATCGGTGCGCGCAATCAAGCGACCAGCACTTTTCCCACTTTGTCCTCCGATAATTCCGGTCGTAATTCGCGGTAAAGAGCACTCTCCGCGATGCCGCGCGTGCACACGGCGAGAGAGCCCGGTGGTGTATGTGTGTCTCGTCATTGTAACAATATTATAGACGAGTGAAAGTGTAGAATCCATGTCGCTCCGCGGCATTACGCCGCTCCGCGCGACAGTGAAATCGGGGCTTTCACCCCACTTTCCCCTTCGCCGGGCGACACGTCGCCCCAAGGAAGAGAGGGGAGTAGGAGGAGGGGAAGAGGGAGACGCGCGCAGGGAGGGCAGGCAACCCTTTTGTGAGCGACTCACGGTTTTGTCGCGTCGATTCGCGATCGGGGGGTGCGGCTCCGAGGAGGCGTGCACGCCGCTCAGCTAGCTGGGCTACCTACCTACCGTACCTACCCCTTTCCGTTCCGGGTGACACGGTCGCACCGTGTGCGTCGCTGAATACGCATGCCGGAACCGTTATCGACCCCCTCGCTGCACGGTTCGAGGAGGCCGCTTTTGAGGAGTTACGAGACTCGCCCCTCAGTCATTGCCTCGCGTGTCACGCGCGCGCACTCGTCGTCTCCCTCTCCTCGGTAGCGGCCGGTTATTACGCCGCTTAATGCGCCGTTTGTACGACGTCGCGTTAACTTACCGGCTACTTTGTACAGGAGAATCGGACGCGAGCGTGGGACGAGCGGGGGTGGACGAGAGAGAGGGAGGGAGGGAGGAGGAGAGAGAGACGTTTGTCACGGAGTTTCGATTTTTTTTTCTTTCGGGCGAATTTCCTCTTCCTTTTCTCAATCTCAGGCGGATTTAGATTAATCGATGCACAACGAGCTCGATTTTGCCACGAAACTGTTCTTTCAATCGGTTAGTCGGGGAGTGACGTTCGAAGATGTCGAGGTAACAGACTCGGCGCACGAGGAGGAGTCTTCTTCCAAGAGAAGCGCAAATGCGAGGAAAGCGCGAGGAAAAATTCCGGTAAGACGAAAGTAAGACCATTTTGTGTCAGCATTGCTTTACGTAGCACCGACGTTTGAAACATTCTTGAGAAATTAATATCTTTATTAAAGCCCCATTAGACGATCGATTATTGTATTCTTATCCGTTCTGTAGAGAAGAATCTATTTTTTCGAGAACTATATTCGCGCAGAAAAAGGTGTTAGATTTGAGTAGTCATTCTACCGTTCCCTTTTTTCGCGGCATTTCTCTTGGATCAAACACAATATTCACTTGATCCAAGCGCAATCTTTTCCGGACAAATTATCCAAGTAAAATATCAACTCGATCCAAGTGAAAATTTGCTAAGGAATATTTACTTGAATTTCACACTTTTCCCGTGTGTTCTTCAGAGGCGCACATTTTTCAATACGGCAAACCAAATCCGCACGAGCACCTTCGCGAGGCGTCGGAAGTTTTTCAGGAGGAAAACCGATCGTTCGATCTCTCGAATATCGCCATTTCGTGGCACGTGCGCGGGATCGCAAGTACCACGGCACCGTCGCGCGACTTCCCCGAAGACACCGTCACGCCGCTAAGTGATCTCAATAATCTTACGTCGTCCGGCGACGTCGCTTGCGCCGGGAATAAATTAATAACCGCGCGGGCGCGCGAGCACGCTTAATTGACGTCAGGTTCGCGCGTTCAGTTGAAATTAATGGGAGCTCCGTGCGTAGCCCGAAAATCAACAGAGATAATAACTCGTCCCATCGATCCTCCCGAAGCGCGAAATTAAAATGTAAATTGAGAAAGAGCGAGGCGGAGGTTGTAATTGATTTACGAGGCGCGGATCGCGCGCTCTCGGAACACGAGAACGATCGTCTCTCGCGCGGCCGCACGCGTGAGAGATCGAACGGCTCGCGCGCACGCGCGCGCGGATGTATCCGCGAAACGTTCGACAGGTGTTCCCATGGAGGCGAGGAGGAAGTGATTTTGCACGGCAGTTAACGTGGTAAAGTGCTAATGTGCGAATTAATATAGCGGTCACTCCGCAACGTTGGTCGCGCATCACGAATCCTTGGCGGATACGGCCGGGGCTCGCGTGTGAGTGTGTGCGTGTGCGCGCGGATCGCGTAGGTCAGTCGTCCGCGACTCGCCGAAACGGCTCACTCGCAGGCCTCTGAACGTCTCTGTTCCGTGCCGGCCTATTTTCCGCCGGCTCGAGCCGAGGCGTAAAGCGAAACCAAGAGCTCGCGCGAATGTATCTCTTCTCCTGTGAATCGTCAGCGATCATTCTCTCCGAGAGATCGATCTCGGATCAATCGTGAGACCGTTACGAGGGCCAACGAAAGGCGAATAAATTATTTACCGCTTGAACGAAAAACTAATATTTCCTTCTCGAATATAACAAACGATCACAGATCACAATGCTTCGGCCTCTCTAATTAAACGGAAATTTTAACGGCCGGTTAGATATTCAATCGCAAAACAAATATGTTAATGGAATGGGAATGTGAAATTATTATTTTCGCGCGTTCGCCTTAAAAATCTAATTAGCGTGGAAGCCTCGGTGTGCGTACGAATTGGAATTCGTAAGTTTTAACGGCCCTCAGCCATGAAAAAGCTCTCATTATCATCCTTTAAATTACCTTTACTTTTAATCATCATCTTCATTTACAAAACATTGGTAATTAATTGCCATCCTTATTTCATTATTAGGTACTCATTCACTCTCCACTATTTTTCTAACCTGCACGTTTTATTTTAAGTTTGCTCACTCTTACTTTTTTTCACTTTTTCTTACGGCGATTGTCTGAACATTTATGTTTACGCACCATTGCATTTGTTGCTCAGGATTTATCCTACAGCGTTGATCGCGCAGACCCTGTTCTATTCTACTTCTATGGACATTTTATTAATCCATAACGTCAGGGAAGATTGTCGAGGTTGAACCTTCTCCCGTCTTGTCCTCGTTACGCGCCGCGCGATAAGCGTCCAATCGCGGTTCGTTGCGATTCGGCTCGCCGAAAGAGCGTCTCGCCTCTGGCGCAACTTGCGCGAGCGAGCGGGCGAACGTCCAGGATACCTTTCTCCCGATTAATTGCCGTGACGGCGGTCGAGGCGGCCGGGCTCTTTTCCTCTAATTAATTCGTATTGCATATCTCGTGCCGGCGAACCGCGCGCGTCGCGAGCGCGGCCGCTCCGTTATGACGGGGCCCCGTCGGGCCGCGCGGATCCGGTATCGCGATATTCGGGCTTCCTGCGACACGCGGCAAGGATGGAAAATTCAGTTTCACCTCGCCTCGTCTCATTACAGAGACACAATAGTGCTAACAGGGCGGACGAGACTTCCGTGTTTTTAATCTCTCTCTATCCAGAAAACATCCCTTAATATACTTACATTATATCAAAATAGCGAGTAATAAAAAGTCGTGGTAAAAATAATTGGAATAGTTGTCTATCGCGTAAAAATATCATCAAAGTCGAATACCGACTCCTGTATCAAAATACGTTACGCGTCAATGATATCAATATTCTTGGAAAAAGTTGCAGATATATTTTAACGTTGAAATTACACTAACTTATGTTAAAAAGGGTAAGAATATAAATGCGAAACGCGGGAAGGGGAAAGGATGAGGAATGTTGACGAAATACCCGAGATCGCTACCGCGGTAGCGATTCTCGAGTGACGAGTAGTTTCCCATCGCGTTCAATTAATTCCCCGACCCGATGGGAAAATCATGAGGTTTCGTCCCCGCGAAATAACACGCTTAGGCGACTGTGCGACAGGCCGTAGTTGCGTGTCGCCCCGGGCCCATCCGGCCACGAATCCACGAGAGCGTAATTGCCGGTGCGCTGCGTGCGCCTCGCGATTCGTTTAATTGCCGGCCGGCCGGGGGACGCGATCTCCCTCGAAATTACCTTTCCAGGTATCGGCAGAGCGCGGTACCCCGGCCGAATTGTCCCTGTCACTGCTCCGTGGCGGACACATCGCGGCGAATCCGGCCCGGCCAGGTAGGTATCCTGTCGATACGATCGCCTCCTTCCGTCCGTGATATCTTTACGAGCCCGTTGATAGCCCGGCGCGTTCGTACGGAAGCATAAACGCGGCCTCGTTATTTCTCCCGTTACTTCTTCCCGCGGGAATCTCTCTCGATCGCGGCCGGGAAGGTCCCCGCGATTGTCGCTTTCTCACAGGATACATCGCTCGATCTCGATAAGGGCGACGAGCCTTTTGTAGTCTTTAGCGGCCGACCGGGGGAAGGTTCAATTCGCTCGGGCCGGCGTACAGATTCCATCGTGACGCCATTCTCGAGAGTCTCCCGTTCAGAGGAGACGTTTGTTATTCGCGACGCGCGTCCCACCCGGGTTTTTCCGCCACGGTAACGCGATACGGCGAGCGTGCGTGCGTGTGTGAGACACGGCTCAAATGCGTATCGTTAGCACGTCGTTACGTCGGGGTGGCTTTCCCCTTCCCCTTCAGCGGCGGACTAACAAATGAGGCCTGCGTCTGCCACACGCGACGGCGTCTTTTTCTTCGCCGACCCGCTTCTTCCCCCCCCCCCCCCCC